GAGTTGGATGTTTATTTAGATGAGGCAAAGCTTGATTATGAGTGTTTGAAGACTTGGATGTGCTTAATTATTAGAGGGACAATGCTAAGCGTTTTTCTGATCTTTCTGTTATGGCACGAGATGTATTGAGCATTTCGATTACTACAGTAGCATCAGAGTCTGATTTTAGTATCGGTGGTCATGTTCTCACCAAGTTTAGAAGTTCCCTCCGCTATAAAAATGTTCAAATGCTTGTCTACACAAAAAATTAGTTGCATGGCTTTTCTTTAGCTACCGATGGTATTGTTTATTTTATATATTTCAATGTCTTTAATATTTTCTTGTTAAATTAATAATTTTAGTTAAAATTCAAACTCATTATATCTTTTTCTTTTATGACAATGAATATTAGATAATAATGACGAGGACTTAGAGACATCATTGCTGTCCAAAGAAGACTCAAATGTTTTGATTGAGGATGAAGATTGAGAAAAACATTAATTAGTCTTGAAGTTTATGAATATTTGATTATGTATTTATGTAGTTGTGTTGATGGGATTGTAGTTTGTGTAATTGTGTTAAAGATTGACAATTTGAAATTTTATTTATATTTGATGTAATGTATTTGTTTATTTATTTTTGATGTAATTTATTTGTTTGTAATATGTTTTTATTATTTTAATTTATGGACTAAATCATAGTATAGTTGTATACTTGTATTGATGAGGAGTAAAAATATTTTTTTTTGAAAAAAATGGGTTAGCCCAGCCCGGCCCATGGGCTAGTGAGGGGTGGGTTGGGTTGAGGATTTTGTACCTCATATAAAATATGAGCTAGCACGACCCGATCCATATTTTTTCAGCCCACAAGGGCTTGGGCTGGGCTAGGGTTGGCCCATATGAACAAGTCTATGTATATATATATAGCGATAGACTACCAAAATGTACCATCTCATTAATATAGTAAAATTAAAATTCATTAAAGATTTAAAACTAAATATAAATATTTTTTAAAAAAATTCTTTTTTTCTCTCTCCTAACTTCCTCTCATCCTTTCTTTTTCTCCTCTTTTTTATCTCTTATTCTCTTTCTCCTCTTCTTCTTCCACTAAGATTAAATTTGGTAAAATTATACAATGTCAAGAACAATTCTAATTAAAAGTTTTCACTTTCTCTCTAAACTCTCTTCGACATGTCTCTCTATACATCATCATATGCTATGCCAAAACTTTATCTATGTTCAATTGTTGAATAATGTTGGAGAGAATGTGTTTTTTTCACTTGTTTTTCTTTGTATAAATATTTTTCACTTTGTTCTTATTTAGATCTCTTCAAGAGATTTGAGACATACGCTCATCTAAAAACCAGTCCTCACACATACGAAATTATTATCTTCTCTACTTATTCTTAGAAATCTAGATCTAGGGCGAGTGTTGAAGCAATATAACATACATAACTTTTGTCTAATACTCAAGTAAGCATGTGAAATTTTAAATGACCATATGAATTAAACAAAATGGAAATCTTGCATGTCTCGTGTTTTAAGGAGTTAAATTATTAAATCAAATTGTGAGCTCTTTTATTATAAAATATATAAAAAAGTAATACTTTATTATGATCTTACAAAAATAACTAATTGAATCAATAACAAGAATATAGATTGAAGACTTTCAATCTCAAATCTCACACTCTAAATTAAAATATTCATTCTCAATCTCAAATTTCAATCAATAACAGGTAAGTAAACTTGAACTTGAATAAAGTTTAATTGTTTAAAGAGAATTAGAGAAAGGTTAGAGAGAAGGGTGGATTAGAATTTAGAGAGAAAGTTATTCTTCCTTTTTGCACTTTAAAGCCTTGAACTGAAAATGAGAAAGGCAAGATTCTAAAGATTTTCTAACGAAAGAGTTAAAGAGAAACGTGGAAGAGAGTTTAGAGAGAGAAATTTTTTTTAACTTTTTACTTCATTAAATGTTAAAAACTTTTTAATGTTTAGTTTTAAATCCTTAATGAATTTTGGTTTTATCTCATTAATGGGATGATACATTTTAATGACCTAATAATGTATAAATTTTATATATTATCAATATATTAAATATAAATATGTATGTCAAATATTACTTTGTGCTATAATAAAATTCAAATACATCTGAACAGTGCCATACTTATTGGAAAATTATTATACTAAGTCATTTAATGTTATGAAAACTATCACGTTAATATAATAATAAGAATTATACACCATAATTAATTAGGGTTACAACTTACAACCAATTAGAAGAAGGCTTCGCTTTGCTGTAAGTATTTTCTATGCAGAGCTTGCTTGGTAACGAGTTGTGGTGTTCAACTTTTTCATGCTGTTTCTCTCTCCCTTCTGTTTTCTGACCTTTTTTTTATTTTTTCTATTTGACTTTTGTACTCAGAAACATTGACTTGTGAGGAAAGGCTAGTCTTAGGCATCGGGATTGGACGTTGCTATATTGGCATGGCACACGGTTTTGTCAGCCCAAACATAGCAAGATTTTGCCTCTCATTCTCATACATTCAGTCATATTCCCATCCCAGTTGAAAATAATAACACTGACTAAGTTTCTTCATAATTAAAAACTCTGGACAAGAAGTGAACCGGAACATGCATGAAACCTTTTTTATGTCATGCAACCTTTTCATACCACGGGTTAATTCTCATTTCTAGAGTAGAGCCGACTGTTTGTTTGTGTGGCTGCTGGCTTGTGGGCCATCGCCTACAAATCATGGGATTAGCAGATAGGAACCAGGGGCTATCGCGTCGCAACACTGAGAATATATTGCATGTCAATACGAGGATCAGGGCCGTCCACTTAAGGCGCCCCATGAGCTATGTGGAGATCAGATTCGTTGATAATCCAAACTACTTTTGGATGTTTGGAGGGTAGTTTTGATGGAAAAATAAAAGTGAAACGGCCGCTTTGGAGAAACTTTTGTCCCTGGGTGGGTCCCCTGGAGCCTTAAATGACAGTTCTTCTGTGGGGATCATGAAACAGAGTGGGCTCCTCCTCCTTGCTCCCTTCAATGCATTTCATTCTAATAAAAACAAATTCTAATATTGTGCTAATTCCCCGCAAAAGCAAAAAACAAGAAATACTCATCATTTGATAACTTATTTAATTGTCGATTTTATACTTTTATAATTCTTTATTCATCTCCAAGGTTCAAAGAAATACTTTGTTCAAAATTTCAAATTAAATCCAAACCGTTTTAAATATAATATCAAGGGTTATGACAAAAAAAACCAATATTTTTCTATTTGACAAGTCAATACTATAATATCTGTATAAAAATTAATTACTACATTTTATATTTTTGTAGCTTGTCATTACAAAACTTTAATAGGGAAGACAAGTAAGGGAAGAGATCAACGACTCACAATAATAATAACAACAACAACAATAATAATAATAATAAATTAGTTTATTTTTTAAATGATGATATCAGGCTTACCTTTTCCTAAACTAACTTAATTGATTGGGAAGATATTGAATTGTTTATTGATACCTTAACCTAATAACCTTGCATCAAAGCTTCAATCCTTTCCCTTTTTCCCTACGGGCTTGTTTCAATGATCCCACTTTCTGGAAGAAGAGTATAACTTATAAACCAATGGACAAGTTTCCAAACTTATAATGTCACCTCAAGTGTTTAAAAAAAGGTATATAAAATATTTCAATCTCATATCAAATAAATAAAAATATTCAAAAAAATTATAAAAATGAACATTGATGTTAAAAAAAGAAAAAATATTAAATTATAAAATTATATGTATTATAGACAAATTAAAATTATATTATATTATTATAAAGGTGAATGATATATACATTATAGTATTATAGTGTTTTACTACGAGAATATTATTAGATTAGATTGAGCGGAAAAAAAATGTCAATCATAAGCCAAGGTATGGTACAAAATTTGTATCTTAGTTTCTAATGTATAGATCTCAACAACTACCATCACATACACACACACACAAAATACTCTTTTTTTATTTCGATATTATTTTGACATTTTAGAATTTAATTCTTGCGTGTTTCCAAAATTATTTGGATGAATAAGATGGTATGCTTGATTGGCTTTCCAAGAGTTGTTATAAAAGGAAAAAAAGATTGATTTTTAAATTTTTCAACCATTTAAAGTAAAAAACTGTTAATTATATATTTTGTTATCAATTAAAGAATAATTTAATAAGTAAGTTTGACTGTATAGAACGATTTATCTAATCTTAACTTTAAAAATAAAAAATGATCTTTTTATCTTAAATTTTATGTACTTATGAAAAATTTATGTGTATAAATCTTGTATTACCCCTTATTAAGCCTTTTTTTTTACTATTGAAAAAAGGCCTTATTAACCTTATTAATTATTATGTAAAATTTCAGCATGAAATAATATGGGTTTCTTATTGCAAAAGCGTTACCTGAAAGCAAAATAAAATGTGTGTTGGTTGGAGGCGAAACCCAAAAAGACTGCCCTAAAATTCCCAAAATAGGAGTGTCCAAGGACAACATGAAAGGAACATAGACATGTCCATTTTGGTCATTTAGTCCATGCATCGCAACCCACCTACGAACGCGTGTGGTCTCAACTCTCATAAATCAAACCGAACACAAGCGTTAATCTTCTCTCTCTCTTAACAGCAAAACTAAAGAGAATTTCTTTGCTTCCTTTTTCTTATTTTTATTCTTTCTCTCTCTCTCTCTATCTGCCAAGTCCTCAAGAATTCAACTTTCGTATTCATGAAAGCTAAGCTCCCTCCTACAAGGTAACTAAAATCTTCTTTACCATGTCTTGTTTGTTCTTTTCTATTTGTGCTTGTTTTTGTAGTTTTTCTTTTCTTTTCTTTTATCTATGGCAACAACCAAAGATTGAAGAGAGGAAAAAAAAAAACCAAGGAAAAACAGTTGACAATCGAGGTTGATAGATGCCTAACAATGAAAACCCATTTGTCCAGGTTGGCTTTGGCACGTGGGTTTTAACGTTCAACTTCTTCTATGGAGGTTAGCCATATGTTTTTATTTAAAAAAAAAAATCGTTCTTTTGCATGTTTATATACATTTCTTATCAACTGTTTATTAGTTAATGTACTTTTTCATACTGTTTTCTATAGTTGTTTAGTTCGATATATGTTTAATCAAATGGACTTACATGTTAATTTTCACTGAAAAATGGACATGTTTTCTTGGTTGAATTTATTTCACTGAATACTATACGTTTCAATGAGATTGTTTAATGTTGATGTATTAACTATTCAGAGCTCTATGTTGTTGGGGTTGTTTAAATTTGGTTTTATGTCACGTGAACATGTGCCTTGGCATTTGAATGTCGGTATCCACCTGGTTTTGGTTCTAGCTGTTGGTAATTTAGATTGCAAGGAATATAAATGTTATCTGTTTTAATTGTAGTCATGAGCTTATCTCATGCTTGGATTAAGGGCTTCCAGTTGTTCTGCTATTCGAGAAATATGTTGGAAATTTTATTCGCTAAGCTAGGCATAATACTTTGTTTATCTTTTGGCTTTATTTGCGAGAGACGATTATCATCTTTTCCTGATGAACTTAGTCTGCACAAGTGTTTCTTCTTCTTCTTCTTCTTCTTTTTGATTAATGTTTGATTTGGTTCATTGCAATCATAAACTTTGTCAACGCTATTATGAATTCTTGAGGGTCCTACCCGAATCTCGAGCATAAGGAACAGTGATAGGATTTCACCCCCACATTCAATGGTGGTAATTTCAAATTCCATGCCTAGGAGGATTCCTCTGCTCTTTTGTGTTCAATCTTTATTTTGAATTAAAATAAATACTTTAAACAAATAGCATCTGGCATTTAACTTAAAATGAAATTGACTTTAGCAGATACTTGAGGTCTAGCAGTAGAAAATTGAGTCTCCATGTATTTCTATCTCAAAATATTGAAAAGTTCAACATGTAATGATAGTTTCTCCATCCCTCCAAGGGCATCCCAAGTTTGCACTCATGACGCCTCCTTGAATTAGGCTACAGGGTTGATTTATGTCATAATTAAGTATAAATCAAATGTCCATTTTAAGATTTTCAGTTTAAATCTTTTCGCTGAATTCTTGGGCAGATGGATACTACTCATTTGGATAATGATATGGAGGGCATTGAAGATGAATCTGCTGAACAATTACTTGCTTCATGTTCCTTTTTGGATAAAATTTTTGGAGATCTGCAGATGCTTCCTCGTGTTGGAGATGAATACCAAGCAAAAATTCCACCTCTAGTTGGAGAATGTCATAGTTTACAGGTTATAAATAAACCAATTGACTCAGAAGTGATAATCAGTGTGCCAAGCCCTTTTCCATTGGGATTGCCTATCCCTCTTATCTGGACAAGGACTGAAGTTGAAAGCACAGATGGTGCATTTGAATTTGAAAACAGTGAAGAGAGCCAAATTACATCAAGCCATGGATGTAAAGAATATAAAGTTCAAGCTCTAGATTCTGCGTTGGGTGATGGGAAAGACATGAGAGGATGTTCAAAGCATCAAACTACAAATGGAACTGAACAGATGGATGTTTATTTACACTTCCCACAGGAGCCAAAATCTAAGCTGAATCAGGTGGATAGAGGTCCCTATCCTCTTCCAGGCTCTTCAGGTGAAGTATGGAAGGATATCGAGCATGACAGTTTTCTTCTTGGGCTATACATCTTTGGGAAAAATCTTATTCTTGTGAACAATTTTGTTAAGAGTAAAGGGATGGGAGAGATATTGTCTTTCTATTATGGAAAATTTTACAGGTCTGATGGATATCGTAGATGGTCAGAATGCCGAAAATTAAGAGGCAGACGGGGCATTCATGGACAAAAGCTGTTCACAGGATGGAGGCAACAGGAATTACTATCACGATTATTTTCTCATCTATCAAAAGATTGTCAAGATATGCTGCTTAAGGTATTTTTCTGACTTTTTTATGCACCTGCTCATTTGATCTTTCTAAATAATTGGACATATATTTGTTTTGTTAACTGGTTCTTATGTATCATCTGGTGCTGTGAAGTGTACACATAGACACTTCTCTAATCGTCTTATTTTCTTCTCAACTCCCGTAATACATGGTCTAGGAACACTGCATTATTCTGTCCATGGTGACCTTGTTTTTTGTTAATTTATTAGCATTATTTATCAACTTCTGAAATTTGAACATGATTTCTGATTTCTTTTTCAAGTGTTATCTGTGTGAGTTTGCTCCATCCAAACTGCATGGATTTATAAAGTGTTGACTGTATAACTTTTCGGGGTGTTTCCAACTCAGACCACTTTAAGCAACCTAAGTTAGCTTGGCAATTAGCTATGATTTTGTGGAGTGTAATATTGTGACCTAATACAATAATGTAGATGCTGTCTAGGATTTGAGATGGGGAAGTTAAAGCAGATTAGCAGAGAATGAAGGTTTAACTGGGGCCATGCTTGCATTATGGAATGCACGTATAGTATTCTGTTGATTGATGAAACAGAGCAGTGTTTCTCTTTGAGGACCTGTCTTTCAAGAAAGTAAGGGACAACTAACTAAAGGCCCATCTTGTAAAGGCTAAAATGGAATGAGCAAGATATTGGTTGTTGACTAACACCATCTGAAATGTTGATATATTAATGGAATAACAAAGTAAACATGAATAGTTTATTATTATTTTTTTGTTTATTAAGGCATATTTTCCCTTTTACACTGCTGTTTTTCCTTTAGGAAAACGAAATTCTTACTTTTACTAAGAGCTCTGTAGTGCCAATTACCATGTGACTCTTTAGTCTCCTAAAGTTTCCTTCAGAATGAGGAGCTGGAAAATAAGGAAGCCTTTGACTTTATCTTGGTCTCTTCATCTTTAGGGTTCATTTAAGCCTGCTCATAGGTGTTTTCTTATGTGAACTGGGTTGATAATAAAAATGGTTGTTGGTGTTTCAATGGCTTGTCTCTGACAATATTAAGACATATTTTCTTTTTAACACTGCTGTTTTCCTTCAGGAAAATGAAATTCTTTCTTTTACTAAGAGCTCTGTAGTGTCAATTACTATGTGACTCGTCAGTCTGCTAAATTTTCTTCAGAATAAGGAGCTGGTAATTAAGTTTGCCCCCTTACTTTTGTTCTTATCTTGGCCTCTTCAACTTTAGGGTTCATTTTAGGCCTGCTCATAGGCATTTACTTATGTGCACTGGCTTGATAATAAAAATGGTTGTTGGTGTTTCAATGTCTTGTCTCTGACAAGCATTGTGCCTTTTGGTTCCTGCTTGGACTGCTTACTCCATTTTTGAAGCAGGGTGGATATAGTATCTGGCTTTCTGTTTGGATATATTGAGGCTAATCTCTTATTCTCGGGTTAGACACTCTTTGCTATAAATTGCTTGGAACTCTTGGCTCAGTTTGGGAAACATAGGAGAATATCTGTTCGTGAAGGATTCCAATTATGCATAGAAATGTTTGTTGTTCTTAGGATTTGCATCTCCCCTGAAATTTGTAGGCATCTCCAGAGTCGGGCTTCATTTGAATTTTGGAATGGACAAGAGAAAGGAGAATGCTTGATATGCTTTTTCCACTTTTGCATTTTCAGCCCCTTTTATGTGTATTTGACTTTGTTTATTAGGAACTTAAAGCATCTTTATGCCAAGGGATCTCTCCAGAAGAATGTGATACCTGGCTCTTGATAAAGAGGGATTATTCCTCTAGTTATATCTTATAGTTCATTGAAGTGGCAGGTGCACTATCTTTGACAGTATATTCAGCTCTTTGCAGGTTCTCTTAGGAAGGCCTTTTGATCTCTTAATTAGGAATAAATTTCTTTTAACTGAAAGCACCATTAATTGTGTCTCAATGTGCGTATGGATTTGCCCTTTTACCTCGAGAAAATGTGGAATGATTCTTTCACTTTTTTGATCTTGACTACTTGGAACCTATAATTTAAACCATACATGTACCAGAGAAGCATCTCAAAATTACCGTCATATTGCAGTTAGTCTTAGCTACCTTTCTTGAAGTTCTATCAATTTCGTTTGAGCTCCTGGTTTTTTGTTATCAAGTCTACTTAGCAGAAATTCTCATTGACTGCTGAACTATACCGTTGCAGCTATATTTGGACTGTATTTTTGGGAGACAAAAATATTTCATCGTGATGTTTGAATTTTGATTATTGCAGGTTTCTAAGACATTTGGTGAGGGAAAAATTTCCTTTGAGGAATACGTTTTCACCATAAAGAATGCAGTTGGCATTCATACGCTCATAGAAGCTATAGGTATTGGCAAAGGAAAGCAAGACCTCACTGGCAATGCCATGGAGCCAGTAAAAGCCAATCATGTAGCTTCTGTTCGTCCTGAAATACCAGTTGGCAAAGCATGTTCTGCTCTTACATCAGCAGATATTATCAAGTTTCTAACAGGAGGTTTTAGGTTGAGCAAAGCTAGATCGAGTGATCTTTTCTGGGAAGCTGTTTGGCCTCGCCTTTTAGCAAGAGGTTGGCACTCTGAACAGTCAAAGGATCACGTTTTTTCCGGTTCAAAGAACTCTCTAGTGTTTCTTATACCTGGGGTTAAGAAGTTTTCAAGGAGGAGACTAGTGAAAGGGAACCACTATTTTGATTCTGTTACCGATGTTCTTAGTAAAGTTGCATCTGAACCATGGCTCCTTGAGCTTGAAATTGAAGTGACTAAGGGCAGCCGAGAGAAAGAAGAAAATAAGTGGGACCCAGTAATAAAACAAGATCCTGGTTTTATGTCAAATAAATGTAATGGTTACCTCAAGCCACGAAATTCTGGCTGCAATCGAGATCTAATGAAGTTTACAATTGTAGATACTAGTCTGGTTGAAGGTGGGGAACGATCCAAGGTTAGAGAGCTGAGAAGCTTACCTCTTGAAGCTACTAGGTTATCCACCCCCTCTAGTATTTCTAGTGATTATGAGGATACATCTAGTGACTCAGAAGATGAAGCAGAAGAAACTAGCACCTCCATGGCTGCAGAGGCGATGGCTGATAGGGGACAATCTGTGGACTTATCAGATTGTGTAAATAGTAGCTCAAATATTGGCATTCGTCACACCTCTGATACCACCATTATATCAGTGGAAAACTATGAAAGCCACAACACAAGTCTGCTTGATGAAGAGGAACAAAAGGTTATGAAATATTTGGCTCCTGTTACTAAACAGCGGGGTTCAACAGATTGCATCCATGAAGAATCAATCTGTAGTGTTGGAAACATTTCTGCTGACAGGATTTTAAACGGAGACAATTCCCTTTGTAGGTCAAACTCACCTGATGCTTGTGAAGATATGGTTTTTCAAACGGGATCCCAAAACTTGTCACCTGCCAGTTCTTTGGCTAAAGGCAGTCCAGATGAGAGAAAGGAAGGCACTGTCACGGACAACTGCCTGCATAGAGATGAATCTCCAACGAAAACTCAGTCCCATATATTGATAGACTTAAATGTTCCTCAAGTTTCAATAGATATGGAAACTGATGAACCCTTTCTTATGGAGACAATGCAAAATAGTGACAATTCCTGTGCACATATGTCATTCATTCAGTCTGAAACAACAGTGCAGCCTGAGCCATTGAAGCTTCCTGATAAAGATGCAGAGGTCAACCAGCAGCCTATAATGCACAACCGGAGACAGAGTACTAGGAACCGACCATTGACCACAAAAGCATTAGAAGCTCTTGAATGTGGGTTCTTCAGTCCGAAGAGAAAGAGAAGGGCCGTAGAGGCTCCACAGAATAACTCACGAAGAGTTCGTGCGAGGCCTGCTGTTAGTGCCATTTTTAGAAATGGTGCTACTAATCCCAACATAGAGGAGAATAAGGATGGGTTCTGCAGTACCAAAAAATAGCCAGTCAGTTTCAAAATTTGAATCTGTTACATGGAGAAATGAGTGGGCTAATTGCTAAGCTGTTCCCGAAACCACCTCCCATGTCCTGCAAAGCCTTGTGCTTTGGGTGGTATTGATTTTCTAGTCAATAATCGGGAGACCAAATATTTCCTTTATCATACTTGGAAAACACAACACTCCATTCACCCAACTAGTTGCAGATTCCTGACCAATGTCTGGTGAAAAATTAAAAGTATCACACATGTTCATCTTACATAAGTTAGATGAAACAGATAGTCTGATGCGGCGTTATGATCTCAGAAAGGAGAGGCGGGGCTACAATTCCTTCGACTGGAGTAGCCTTTCCTCAGTGTAGGAGCAACTGACACAGTTGGTTCTTACTGTCTTCTACATAATTGACTTGCAAAGGTTATACCTTATTGGGGTTTTACTGCTGAATGATTCTAATGCCAATCTTTGATCTCGATGCACATAACAGTAATTTTTCCAGTTACTTTTATCTCTTTCTATATAAACGTGTTGTCCTGAAAAAGTGTATAGAGCAAAAGAATGGTTTACCTTTATAAGATTTTGCAATTTAACAGAGCTTGTCTTATTGTTTTATTTATTTATGTATTTATGAAAAGCATATAAAAGAATGTCATATTTGCAACAAGATAGCATTGCCATTGCATGATGGAGTGAGTTTTTTCTGGATACAAGTTCAGAGGCAAAGAAAAACTAAGCAGCTTAAAGCCAGTAAAAACGGAAATGTTCAATCAATCATAGTTACAATGCAAAATTTTCTTCGCTTGCACGTTACTCACCAGACGACAAGGGAAGAAAAAGGGCAAACAAAAACCATATCCACGTAATCTTCATTGGGAACTTAGTATTTTTTTCCCCTAGGAAAAGCAGGTGCATTCTTTAGCTAGATCGGCACATGACACCTAATATTACTGAAATTGACGTCTACCCAATTCCGAGTTGTTGAAGGGCTGCAGATCATTGATGCTTACACATTTCAACAGGTGTAAATAAGCCATGTTTTCCGGGAGGGAACCGCCGCCTGAATTACTAGTCAAACAACAGTAAGCTTACTTCAGCCCCAAGGGTATCTTCAAAAATCATACTCTTCTCACATCCTGAACTGTGAAAACAGTTGAGAGGAAATGTGGTAGAAATTATCCAAAGGGCAAAAGCAAAATCTTTAAATTGTTGATCACATGGTCAAAAGGCACGAACCATCGCTTGGCCCATTTCCATTTCGAGCCTAGAGCTTTGGACATTTTTGCTGAATTTTTTCTTACATAAATAGACTCAACAGACCCCACTTCTGCAAGGCCGGTGGTGATGATGATGTTAATCATTAACCATCTAAATTCTAAACCCATGGCTGTTATATATTCTAAATCATGCTTTTCATCGTCTCACTTTTTAGATTATCTTTAACGAGTCAAAAAGGTGCTGGATTCCAAAAGATCTTTTTTTTCTCTCTCCCGCCAATCCCCATCAATGCTCCAGAGGGTTTGATCCTGCAAATTCAAGTGTTCAAAAATCCATAATTGGTACGAATTTGAAGAAAAATCTGCTTGGATTTGGCATCATGAAGAAGGAAAAGCTAGTGATAATACGTGAGGTAATATTCATGTCATGATGAATCCCATCCCTTGCTTGCTCAAGTACTCTTTTTCTTTTCTTTTCTTTTCTTTTAATTTTTAAATTTTAATTTGGGTCCATTATGAAAGCTACGCTCTCGCCCTTTAAACCCAGTCAAAATGAAACAAATTCTTTCAAATCCATCAATGTACAATAGTTGGAATTGAACATTAACCATCAGACACAAACTAGACAAGGTTCATACTTGAGCACGACTAAATCGTTTAATAATTATTTCTCCTAATTACTTTTTATTCCTTTTCTTAATCGTCAAAACCACGTCCATATCAACAATCAATAGAATATTCATAAGTTTTCTTTTACCTCGATCAACATCATTTTCATGAGAAAAAAATAATACTAAGAAAAAGAGGGGTGGGGGGAACAGAATATGAGGCCATGGCCGTCTTTTCCTTTGTTTTTATCCACGGGGTTACTTAGCTTATGTCAATTAGCAACAGGGTTTTTTCTAAATTATTCAACATTTGTGACATTCTAGCATCTGAATGGTGTTTAGGTTGTCTTCTATATTAGATCTTCTTAAATAAATAAATAAATATTTATATATAAACTTATAATGTTAAAATATGTTTGCTTTTACATTGTTGTGTCGAAGTTTGTTTTCATAGATTATATCGATCCATCATCGGTGATAACTAAGTAAAATTTTATTTGTCTGGACTAATAGTTGCTGATGGGGAAGTAGCAGATGCTTTGCAAAATGGTCTTTTGAACCTGATTGACCAGAGTTTTAGAATTTAGCCCATGGTTCGTATTCTTATTTCTGTCTCTTTGTTGTTTCTTATTCCATACAGCCGGGCTTCTTGTTCTTTCTTATTAAACTATGTGCAAAAGCTTTTGGAACCCTTAATTAATCCTTCGAATTAACAAACATGGGGTACTTAATTCCTTCTTTCAAGTAGTGACCTCCAGAACAATTAATCAGTAAAGAAGTTTGGGTGATTTGTTGGGATTTTCTTTTAGTTTTTATTCCAATATATCAATGGGATGGTTGTTAACTGATTCTCCGTGTTTTTCAACTAGTAGGATTGAATAAGTAGAGCTCTTCCCTGAGTTGAGGGATTGTCTTGTCGGTTAGGGAAATGGCTAATGCACTTCTTTTTTTTTTTCTCATTTTGATTGAACTTATAGTGGCATCCCCCAGCACGATCAAGTAGGAGCAAAGAAACACACAAAACCGATTGGCCATAAATAAGACAGGTTTGAGTATCCCTAGAGAATTATCGAAAAAGAATATAATATTCTTAGACAATTACAAGAAGAATTTAGCTACAATCATGGAAATTAAAAGCTTATAGGATGTCACATATATTATATATAATTAAGGTTCTTGGCAAAAGAACTAAGTTATAAAGAATTTTTTACTATAAGCAGAACTTATTCTTGATCAAGGACTATACAAAAGTCGATATCGTTTGGAGTGATTAGGGACAAAACCTCACCGAAAACCAATTGGAGTAAAGCAAATCCACCGGTAGGAGCAGGGCAAAGCAATGCAATTCTTTTAAGATAATAAACGTTTAGTAGTCGTCCTTACTCTAAAATATTATTATAGTGTACCTAGAAAACAAAGCAGCAACCTTCTTTATAATGTGATTAAAATATGTAATAAGAAATTGAAAATCTGGACACCTGCTTGTTGCTTTCCTGGGTCCTTTGGATCAAATGGGAAACAGGATTCGGCATAGTTTTAACAGACTCATCCTGTTGACAAGATAAGCTTCTTGCATTTCATTTTTCTCTTGCAACATAGGTTGCAAAGCTGCTTTAATTTTTTATACCAACTTCAGGGAGTTGGATATATGCATAGAAGGAGAAAATACAAAAGTTGAATTAGAATTAAAGATGATGATTATTGATAAGATGTGGACACCTACTATTTTATTAGAATTTGATCAACACAATAATTGTCCAATCCTATCAAATTATAATTCAACTTTGGCCTTCTACCAAAACACCCTTCAATTCTGAAATTCTTCAGTTGAGCTATACATATAACTCTCTTTCTATAGCTGATTGTAAATCCTCTCTTTTTTGGCTACAAATGCTAGGTTGACAAGGATTCCTAGTAATTTTGTCATCCTCAAATTGCTCTGAAACTTTGATTTGATTATGTATTTAGCCAACCGTATATCACTGTTGGAAACTAGGTAACAAAAATTTTAACATTTTGGGTCATAATAGCATTATTAGTACTGCACAAGAAGAGGCATCTTGGAGAACCAACCAAATTGGTTTATGAAATAAAAAAATTAAGTAATACTATGAAAGAGAATGGCAATTAAATTAATAATCAGCAAATTAGGGGGGCAATTTCCATGCAGTTGTCCTTTGTCAAATTTTCACCCTGTTCATATATATTTATATAAAGCCAAAGAAGACCAGGTTCCAATGTTACTCCTGTGGCAGCTAGAGCCCTCTTCTTCACCAGAAATGCAGGGGAATTCCCTGGTTTTTGTCTTCCTCTAGAGAGAGCAGCTTCCTGATTTTATGTTTACCAAAAAACAAGCCCCCACTTTTAGTTAAGAGCACCAACAACAAGAAAAAAGAAAGAAACAATAGAATTTGGAGCCAAGGAAAAGAAACAGACAAGCTTGTATAGTATCAATATATCTTTTCCGCTCAGTTTCAAATGTCAAATATCTCAGGTGATGATAGAAGCTTCTCTTCAGGAAACACTGGAGAGGAAGTTCAGCAGCTTGAAGAGAAGCAGCAGAAACAACAGCTGCAAAATAACTTTCCGGGCTCTGGTTCAGGACCTTCTGGTGCTTCTAACAGCAATGGTTCTGCCTCTCAACAGCCACATCAACCAGTTAAGAAGAAAAGAAATTTACCAGGAACTCCAGGCAATTTCATTTACCCATGGATCTATATTATGCTTTCTTCTATGCTAAGTTTATGTAATTTAGGTGACATTTGGTCTTAGAATTGGTCAGGGAAGTTCAGATAGCTGATGTTGGTTTTCAGATTTGAAATATGATTTGAGTTGGATGCATGGCTTTGAGTTTTACATGCTTCAATAGAAGCATGCATGCCAAGGTAGATTTGATCCAGTTAAGCAGAACTAAAGAACAAGCTTTCTAATAGGGGTATCTTCCAGGAAATAAAAGCTGATAGCTTTTTGCAAGAAAAGATTAATTGTTAATTTCTTATATAAAGGGTTCAATTATTGCTATGAGATTACAATAATTGTCAAGAACTGTTTGCTTGATTGCACTTTTTACATCACTTTTTGTTTCTGACTGTTCTATTTGGGCCAATACTGGATCTTTACTGTACAAGACAGAACTTGCTTGCTAAGATTATACAAACAATACTTAAATTTGTTTTTTTTTTAAAGCAAACCTTCTTCTTCTCCCTCATGCTTTCATTGAGTGTTGAGTAAGTAGTCTTTTGAACTTATTGAATATTGTTGTTTGAATTAGATCCAAACGCTGAAGTTATTGCTCTATCACCAACAACGCTTATGGCGACTAATCGATTCGTGTGTGAGATATGCAACAAAGGATTCCAAAGGGACCAAAACCTACAATTGCACCGAAGAGGTCACAATCTTCCATGGAAGCTAAGGCAAAGGACGACCACTGAGGTCAGGAAACGAGTCTACATTTGCCCCGAGCCGACTTGCGTTCACCACAACCCGGCTCGTGCACTAGGGGATCTTACGGGAATAAAGAAGCATTTCAGCCGTAAGCATGGTGAGAAGAAGTGGAAATGCGACAAGTGCGCAAAGAAATATGCTGTGCAATCTGATTGGAAAGCTCATCAGAAGACCTGTGGTACTAGGGAATACAAATGTGACTGTGGAACCATCTTTTCAAGGTATATATTAGATCTTTCAACTTAATGAAACTTAAAGATATTGCATCTGCATTTTGCATGGAGAACTGAAATTGATACGGTATCCTTTACAAAGGTACGTTATGATTCAGTACTGTAAGGTGTCCAATGATTATTTGGTGACTCCAACGTTTATCAGTTTTTGCATGGTAATTTATGGACTTCTACAGCAATGCGGATTTTAAAAAATTTCTTAATGGATATAGGTTGTCTTGCATATGTTTAATATTATGCATTAATTATATCATCTCTAATTAGGATCTCCAGATAAAGAAATGTTAGACAATGGCCGACAACTGATAGGCTCATTCATTCTTCCTTTTTGACGACTTTTGTAGTTATGATATTACAAAATCTCTCTCTAGATCAAAAGTACTGTTTCTAATCAAGATTTTTATCCAATAACAACCTAATTTGACCCCACTGCATATTTCCTTGTGCAGGAGAGACAGCTTCATCACCCACAGAGCTTTCTGTGACGCATTAGCTGAAGAAAACAACAAGGTCAACCAAGGACTAATGAACCACATGGGATCAAACTTGCAAAACCAAATGCCAGAGCTCATGTCATCAATGCCAATGAGTAATGCCAACACATCTATGGGAATATCTGACTTCAACAACTTTGACCCGAAAAACCAGCTCAAATCCCTTCCCCAAGAGCTAGTGCCAATGCCATTTAAGTCCATGAACATGGGAGGAGGCATGTTTTCAAGCAGCTCAGGCACTCTGTTTGGTGGCCCAAGAAGCATTTCCTCAGCTTCCTCTAGCCTACAGCTTAGTTCAAATAGCTCCTCTGGCTTCAATTATTTACAAGACAGCAAAAATGGTTGCCACATTGCGGGTTCGCCCAACATGTCTGCAACAGCCTTGCTACAGAAAGCAGCCCAAATGGGTGCAACTGCAAGCAATAGTATAAACTCGCCCATGATGCAAAAAAGCTTTGCTACTAGCGTGGCAGGTACTGACCAGTCCATTAGACCACTATCTTTTGGTGGAATTCAGCAGCAGAACACATCTTACGATCACTTCCCATCACAAACTGATCAGTCAAGCATGGCTGGGATCAGCGAGGGAGGATTCTCCAACCCGCTCATGCAAAAAAGCCCCAACGAAATGACCCAACTTTTTAATGCTGTCACAGGAAGCTCAGCAAATTTGAATGATATGGGAATGTACGCTAGCTTGTTCATTAACGGAGCTGACCGAAACCAAAGCTTGATGAAGAACATGGAACATGAAGACAGCGGTAGCACTAGCTTGTTACAAGGAAGAACTCGGGCGATGGAAAGGAGCCCAACAGGGCCATCAATATTTGTAGCGAGCAGCAGTGGAGGCTGCAACATGACGACCCTTGATTTCATGGGGATTGGGGGGTCAAGGCAGCAAGCCAATTTGCACGAAGAGCAGCATCAGCATCAAAGATTGGAACTGGAAGCAATAAGCCAACAAAGACTGCCAATGATAAACCCTTTCCAGCAACAGCTCTCACATGGGGATTCAGCTATTGAAAAGCCTATCTGGGATGTCTGAGAGCAATATATATAGATATATATATTTTCTACTTTTTGTTACTTTTAGCTGTCGGCTTGTCCCTGGAAGATTGCTTGCTCTTTGTGTGGTGACGATGCTGTGATGGCCACTTGGGCATTAGGTACCAAGTGGGGTTCACAGGGTCCTCACGCACTTATCTATTGTCAAACCGTGGGCCTGAATTCTTTTCACTCATGAATGACCCAGCGCCCAGTGGGAGAGCCCCCTGTATGTGTGTGGTCACGAAATAACCAGGTCTGGCCACTCCTCCAGACTCATATTTCTTCAAAAGTTGAACAAACAAAAATGAGACTCCTGTTGTTTTGTAACCTAGAAGCCACAGCCAATTTGTATCGACAAAGAAGAAAGGCAAGAAAAAACTGACTAGACTAAGAAATGTAATCTTAATCACACTGTGGAACCCGGTTTGGAGCTTGCCATTGGAAAGTGTTTTCCACCTGCCCCATCGCTCTCATAGGAATTGCACAAATTTCATCTTTACCTAATTCCTCCTTTTACCCTCGAGCAAAGACTATCATTTCCTCAACTTTGTCCCACCCCCGCGGGGTTACATCGCTATGCATTCTTTTGCCATTTTTCAAGTCAATTTTTGGTGAAACTGATTGCATCCAAAAGTATGTTACATCTAACTAGGAAGCTCCCCACTCCTACGCTCAGTTGAGTACCTTGCCCTTATTAATCTCCTTCTCCTCCTAAAAAAGGAAAAACAAAAAACCATTCTCTTTTGTTTGGTTTCTCCCATAAAATTAGAGATAACCTTGCAATATACTAGTTGAATTCCATAAAAATTTCTGATAAAATAAAAAAAAAATTAATTCAAGTTGAATATGAAATTTGCATAACACTAATTAGATTATAACAAACGTGAATAAAATTATACGTACCCAAAGCTAGAACATGAAGTAAAAAAATTGCAACATAATACTCTAAAAACTTTGTGAACTATTGAAAGAAATTCAAATGAGTTTTCATTTTTTATTAAATTTAATTAAGTCTTTATAATTTTTTATTTTTGATAAAATAAATTTTTAAAACTATTCATTAACTAATTGTTATTAATCAAAATATCATTTATTATTATATACGATAGTGTTACTGAGATACAATGATAAAAAATATCATATCACTATATTATTATATTTAGAGCTATCAATATGGGCTGGTCCGGCCCAGTCAGGCCCCAATCCTTGTGGATTGAAAAAATATGAGTTGGGCCGGGCTAATTTATTTTTTATATGGATCAACAAAATTTCAACCCAGTCCACCTCTTCTTAACCCCATGAATTGGGTTGGGTCAATCTATTTCTATTTTTTAAAAAAAATAATTTTTATAATTCTACTTAACAAATTTTTTATTAATAAAATTATTTTATGATTTAATTCATAAATTAAATAATAAAAACATATTACAAATAAACAAATTATATCAAATATAAAAAAATAAATAAATTACATAATAAAGTTTAAATTTTTAACACAAACTATTATATCATAAACATAAGTATATAACCAAATAATAAAAATTTCAAGGCTCGTTTATATCTTTCTCAATCTTCATTCTCACGTAAAAATATTTAAATCTTGCTTAGACAGCAATGATGTCTCAAGATCTGAATTATTATCAATTTATCATCCAATATTCATTACCATAAAAGAAGAAGAGATAATAAGTTTTAATCTAAATTAAAATTTTTAATTTTATAAGTGAAAATTAAAGACATTGAAATATATAAAATAAATAATACTATTAGTAACTAAATTATTAATTTTACATAATTAAATATATAAAATTATTAAATTAATTAAAATTATTTTTTTAACCCATAGGGCTGGCCTTGCCCCGCCCACATCAACCTACTAATTTAGTGGGTTGATCCATTTAGACCCGATTCAAATATGAGTTAAAATTTTTCAACCCAATCCATCTCATATTTAATAGAAAATAAATCGACTCGATGAGTCAGATCTATTTTGACAAATCTAATTATGTTACGTTAATGTGCTACATCACCACTCAATATGATATTTCAATATATCATGTCAAGGAATGTTTTGATTATTAATAATTACTTAATAGTTAATTATAAAAATTTATTTGATTTAAAATAAAAATATAAAAATTTAATTAAATATAATAAAAAATAAAAATTTATTTAAATTTTTTGTAAAAATTTTGAATTGTTATGCCAAAAATGATCAATGATTCAACGTTAATTTCTTGGTCCAAATGAGCAGTGAAAAAGAATGCGGCTAGACCAGGATGAAGGCAGAGCCCAGAACTTCAAAATGGAGTCCTTGAAAAGTTAAAAATCCCAAACCAAATCAGCCACCAAGTCTGGTAAAGACTAGGGGCAGTCTCGTAATAAGGCTTGGCCTTTTCTGTCCTGAACCGACGGATAAAAAACCCTAACCCTAACTTAGATCCTTCTATATATACGCGATAGCGAAAAGCCAACTCTGCAGGTGAAGCCGAGGCTGTGGCTTCTTTGCCCTTTTATTTTTTTGTGTTTTGTTATCTTTTGTGAAAGCTTCGATTATGTTTCATTTTTTCAGTGATGAAAGAGAGGAGGCGGTGATGTTGAGAACTACCTATTTTATGAAGGGTTTTTGGCCTTTTTTGTGATTAGAAAATCACCAATGGATCCTTCTGAGCCTTCTCTCTCCTCCTTTCCTATGCTGAGTGATTCCAACTTTGCTAAAAATTTCTCTACTTCTCTTGTTGATTTTTGGTTAATTTCGTTCGGTCTGATTCAGAGCCATTGACGTGATGATAACCTTTTCTGAAAATACAATGTCGACTAAACAAATCAGACTACAATTATCTGATCAACTTGGCTCTCTAATCTCTAAATCTCTATCCCCTCTTCCGGGAACCTTTTGTTTTTCGGGTTTATTTATATCCAAATTCCAATTTTGTTATTAAAAAAACAAAAACAACTCATCAGTTCAATTGTGAAAATTGGGTTTTTTTTTTTAAAAAAAAAAACATGGAGAGACCATTTTAATTGAATCTATACGACGGAGACGTTGGGCTTAAACCATAAACCTTGCTTAAGATTTCTTAAACATATGCGTTAATTGATACAATGAGGGTTACATGCCATCCATCGACATGTTTTTGTTATTATTAAATTATTACAAAATTGTGGCAGAGCATTCTGGGCTTGCTTCTAGTTGAAGCTTTACTATTTGTGCTTGAACTTCGGAATTGGACGCCCTAATCTTAGTTGAACATTGACGTGAACAATGTTTGAAGCTGCATTCAATATCTCCTTTTCTGCTTCCTTCGCCGCTTCCATAGCATCACTGCGACCAATTGGTTTTGAATGTCAAAGTCTTTATGGCTATATATGTAGTGAGAGGTGAAAAGAAGAGAGAGATTGTACCAAATCATGATATCGGGTGGCATGCCAACCTCAACTTCCAGTAATAGCTTTCCTTGCAACATGTGACGGGTTATGCGCTCAATCACAAACTTCTGCATATTCACATTCGAGAACAAAAAGAAAAAATGTTAGACAACAAGTATGGCAGAATACAGTAGGAAAAAAGTGGAACAAGCCCAATTACTCCTCAAGGCGATAGTGTGGTGTAGCAAATAACAAAATTCGCTTCCCCTTTCAACAATAGTTAAAAAGTTTAGCCCTCTTGAGCTTGACCAAAGTCCAAACCACATTCGCCTTGCTGCTTCAGTGCTCAGAAGCTCTATCTATGGCATACTTTATTTATAGTGAGCCTAAGCTTAAACACTCAACAAAATGCGAACAGATACCTCTGGAAACTTAGATGAAAATGTGCGACAAACAATTGCTTCAACATCTTCCTCCCTGGCAGAAATATTACTTTTCTGTTCCATGGTTCTCTTCAAACTTGCTTTCTGGTCCATTACATCAGGAGAGAACTCTACATATGCAGGATCTACAATTTTGAAGGGCAAAAGAAAGTTGATCAGAATGTAAATATGCCAACAACTTGGTGACGCACAGACTGACTTTGGCATTGATTTTATAGTCCAATTTACCAGTAATCTCTTCCATAGGTATCATATATCTACGCCTACAACCATCATACTCTACCAGGCAAAACAAAAAAGTTTCATTAAATGCTAAACCCCATAAAAGTATATCTTAGTTCAGTTTTCAGTTTTCACACTGGTCAAAAGTCACATGCTCCAAGAACATTCGTTTCCCCCTGACCACAGGTTAAATTCATCAAGCTAAATGGTAGGAGAAATGGTCCATGGAAATCAGAAATAATGTAACTACCCAGTGAGGAGACATTATCAACAGAAGACAAATGACATGATCACCTAGATGGAAAGTTAGTTCCATTCTTCTTTTCTTCTTTCCCTTAACAATCAGTTGTCTTTAGTAGATAGTCATCTCCCAACGGAAAATCTTATGCCAATACCAAAATTACAGCACTCATCTTAACTAATTTGTCTGAGCCAATTTCGAGATGAAGTAACCATGCAACACACCTATGTGTATGAAAACTTCAGTCACTTCAGGGTGTGATTTATGAATTTGATGACGAACATTTTCACCAATGCCATGTGCAGCACTAACACTAGAAAAGGGATCAACCTGCAGGTCAAAAATAAAGGAAATATCATGAAGGGCATCAGGAAATAAGCAGTTTTATAGTCAAACTTAAAACTGAACAACATAAAGTACTAGAAACAACAAACTAAGCCCTATCCCACTATTTAGGATTGGCTACATGGATCACATTGTGGCATTGTGGTCTATTCAAGACCATAACCACAGTAAGCCTAGCAATAATGAGGTCAATTTTGTTACTTTCCATTCAAGTCCTTTTGCAATTTCGCCAGCATTAGAAAATGTAGTAAAAACTCACCACAATATGTACATCAAGGTACAGATTTGAACCAGCTCTCCTTCCTCTCAAACGATGGCATCCCTGCAGACCATTGTGAAAAGAGTAGTTAAGGATGACAGCCAAAAAAGGAAAAGGCAAAACTTAATTGTAAATTTCACCAGTAGCAACAAGCCAACAGATCATGATATAAAATACCGGATGCATGCATCTAGAATGATGAAGTATATTTACTGAGAAATTAATTTTAGGTTTAGAACTGTATCTGGTCTTCATATGCAGATACACAAACAAATTATGGTAGTTACCTTGACTCCTTCAACTTGTAGAATTGTTTGATTTATGGGCTCCAACTGTTCTGCAGGGATTGCAGCGTCAACAAGTTCAAGGACACTACAAAGTTGACCAAAATGAAGATGTAAATTATGGAGATTTCTATACAAACACTAAAAACCAAGCCTAAATATTCGGTAGACATCGCTGACATACTTCCAGTGAAACAAGGCTTACCGATTATAATAGGACTACAAACATGAAATTATGAGCCAAACTTTATCAATTTATCAGTTTCTGTAATGAAAACATATAAGAACATACCTAAAATCAAGAAACATGGCTAAAACAGGTGATGTATAAATCCAAACAATCAAGAAGACATAAGCATGATAACTTCAATCCCTATCCAACAAACTGGAGGTAAAAGAATAAATGCAGAAATTTTAGACCCTAAACATAACAGTATTTTTGACTATTTCCACGCTGACTGATACCATTTGACCTCTTGAATTGCAGAATAGCCACAATCATTTTGAAGCTCACACACCTAAAAGGACACCATGACAAAGCAAACAATAAGAGAAATGGAGCACATATGAAGGACACGAAGCAATGCACCTCTGGTATCCAGTATCCAGACCAGCTTTTAGAATCATTCCTGAGACAACCAGTCCAGCAAGAGGATCTAAAAACTTTACTCCAAGAATAGAGCCTCCTAGATCATGATGGACAAGGCATATAGTCATTGAGTGTTCACTTACATACAATTCAATCTAAGGAAATCCACAGTAATAGACTTAAAGATTTTAAGGGGTAGGGAAAAGGAAGGGCGGTGGAAACTAGTTCAGTACCTAATTTGTAATTCAGATTTCATCAAACAATCAAGCACAGTGAAATTTTCATTTCACAAATAAGCCATCCAGTAATAAAGACCTTCCAGACAACAACCAACCACCCCCAACAAGAGAGATTTCCAAAGGAAAAGGGGCTTGGCAAAGGATGTTATGGAAATTTCAGTAATTTTACAGATACAATGGAATAATCAAGAAAAAAATATCTTCATAATTAGTACAACTTGAATGGGGAAAATTCCTTCCAAAAAGAAGACAAATCCTAGCCCATGACAAGGCAAGGGTAAAGAACAAGCCAAAGGCTAAAACCACCAATATTAATTAGCAATCCTCAAACCAAAAGCAAGAACTTTCATTTTCTATTGCTTACCAATCCTATAACCAATTCAGCAAAGCATTGCTCATAAGTATACAGGACAAAAAAGATAATCACCGAAAAGATCTCTTACCAACCCCAATAAGTGCAACTACAGATGAAATTGCATCTGCACGGTGATGCCATGCATTTGCTTTCATCAGTCCACTGCCCTGCCTTTCCCCAGCTCTTTTTGTTATCCAGTAAAGCCTACATGTAAACATACAGAAAATAACTTTTACAGCAGCAACAACACATGTGAAAGACAGGAAACAGAGATGTTATCGAAGAAAGAAGTGAACAGAGAATAAGCAAAAGGGAAGCTCAATACCCTTCTTTAACGCATATTGCCACAATGGTCATATTCAAAGCTAGTATAGGGTGATCCATATCAATTCCATGATGATTTCCACCGTGATGATGGCTATGTCCATGGGCCAACGAATGATTATTAACTACTTCAGGAACAGTGGACAGCAACCCCTGAACACAGAATGCTCGACTTACTGTAAGGTCCAATCTAGTTTCATTTCAAATATAACCATTTTTCTCAGTCATGTATACTTTGAAATTGTTTCAGCATTATTGATAGTGGGATTTTTTTTTTGTTTTAACTCCTTATTCCGTCTAAATCATAAGATATAGAAAGAAAAACAAAAGTGGTCATACAATTAGGAGATCTAAAGCATGCCAAGCAATACCACCAGCAGTCGCCAAAAGCAAACAAGAAATTCCCAGGGCTCCTAGAGTTTCGAATTTACCATGTCCTAAGGAAAATTAAGAAAAAAAATAATGAGACGTCGAAGAAATACACAAAAGAAAAAAAAAAGAGAAGGAAAAAAGATCCTAGAAGCATAACATTCATTCCTATGAGCAAAATTAAGAAAAATGGAGTAGCTTGTAGGTACAATCATAAGTGACCATATGGGTGTTCTTCGTCTTTGGGAGCCTTTGCAGCTTTGAATGACCATAATGCAACCCCACTTAGAACCTACAAACAAAAAAAATTTCCAACAAAATCAATTGCTTGACTTCCAAGTTTTAACTAATAAACTCTTGCAAGACTATAGTTTTACCACGTCGGAAATAGAATGGGCGGCGTCGGCGATGATGGCGGTGCTTCCAGATAAATAACCAGTCAAAGCTTTAGTAGTAGCTAACCCAATATCCGCTCCCAGACCCAACCGGAATATTCTCTCTCCTTCCTTGGTTATATTATGGTGGTGATCGTGATGATCATGAGAATGGCCAAAATGCCACCGTCTGGGGATGCAGTAATTGAGGTTATCAGAGAAGAGAGGGGGAGAGTAGATATGGAAATGGGGGTTGAGGGATTGGACTATGACGGGGTTGGGATGGAGATTTTTGGGTGAAGAGAGTCTTGAGAGGTAGGATCTGTACATGGGATTTAGATTTTGGAACCTGAATCCCATTATTGTTTTGGGGTCCTTTCTCAAAAGCCAAAATTGGAAAAAACATATATATAAAGAAGCTAGCAATCTGCTCAGTTATTGAATTAGGAAAAGCTACTGGAGCAGGAAGAGCCGTGCCTGTGTCAATGAACTGCAACTTGGGGAAATCTATTCTTGGGATTGCTTGATTAGTGTATTCGCCGGCGGCGTTCGGTGCACGCAATCTGTGTTATTTATGGGCCAGACATCAGCACACGGGCCGCAGCGACATTTTAAGTCTGGGATCCCATTTAAAATTTCACATCCAGGTTTGGTGTTCAGCCATCGGCCCAAAATTTTGGTGCCAGATCCATTACAAGAAAATTCCTTAACAATAGTCCATTTTCTATCACTAGGAAGCAACGTTTTGCTCGAGATAAAAACGTTGAACATTGTTTTTAAGATTTTGAGTCAATGATGGCACGGACCGAACTGGGGTTAGTCCGTGGGGGCTGAGATAGAGAAAGACAAAAGAGAAACTCCCGGCAAAGTTTTTTTTGTTTTTGTTTTTTCCTGTGCTTGTCAAATTAAATACCAAGCGCAAGCTCCGGCATATCCAAAATGCTGCAATTGCATTTGTAATGTCCAGTATATATAACGTTCCGCTTGTCCCATTGCCTTCCATTTTCCACCTCTACCCACCAAAAAATATTTACTACTATAGAACACTCACTGTGTATGGACAGGCCGGCATTTCCAACCAAGGTAATAATGGCAGAGCAAGTCTCGTCATCTTCTATCACGCCATCTTCTATTTCCCTGTCTGTTCTGGTCCCTGTAACCAGGAGTACTCCGTTGCCATGACCTGTCGGGTCTATAACTCCAACCCGAATTCATTCTGGGTTCCTGGTAGTTCCTTCCTGGCACATACTCTGAAGACCTATTTGGACTATTCTCTGGACTCCATGACTCAAACCCTTCATGCCCCAGATACTCATTTCCTTCCCATGGAGGACCTGACCGCGACTGAGGCTGCACAGATCCTCCAACCGATGCATTATAATTGGTTTGATTAGCCTGAGAATGAGGATTAGAAGCCAAACTCTGCCTGGCCCTCCAAGGATCAGACATTGGACCTATGTTTCCCACTGGGGGTCTCGATGAATATGGATGCGTATGTATAGGAGGATCAGTTACTTGGGGTAGTTGTGGCCGTAGATGTGGTGCTGTTTGCGGCTGTGACGGTGTTGGCATCAAGGTAGACATAGAAAATGAAGAATGCAGTTTTTCAGGAGCGTTTGGTGTAATGGAGATTGGTGCAGGTTTCACGTTAGTCAAGGTCTCAACCCGCAATGTGGGACCAGCTGCAGCTGATAAGTTTGTTGAGGAAGAGTTAGCAATGGGTTTATTTTTCGAGGTTAAGGCTATCTCGGAAGCCGGTGGTTGCATAGCTGGAGAATTAGATGGATGACCATGGTGTGAAAAAGCAACATTAGGAGACTGTCGCTTTTCAGGAGTCATGGCATTTGATTGAGGCAACAACTGTGCTATGGCCGCTGCAAGCTGTTGGGCTAATAATTGGCCATTTGCGTCTTGCTGTGGCGCCGCCATGCTAGTAGCAGGAAGCCTTTCCGCAGCAGGAGTGGTGGCGCCAACTCCAAGAGAAGCTTGGGCAACTCTGTTTCCAATTTGAGTTTGCGGTGAAAAAGGGTTCCTGACTGCCTCCGGTTTCCATCCACTCTGCACATTAAACAAATGCTTCAATATCGTATAATGAGATAATATTGATAATTAGATGTAAAATGAAAATCATGAGCATATAATCTAATAATGTCATAAATCAGAGATCCTTTAGATAAGTATATCATCTTCGGACATGGTACAAAAGTGCTATATTTCATCATTTTAGAAATATAGTAATGCCGATGAGGGTCATGGTCAACAGCATGATGTGAAGGCTCGTGTAATTTCCCAGACCCAGACCACAGGCATCCACAAAAAATGAACCCACATGGCCTGATTAAGCTGTTCTACCCTACCCTTTGCCACGTTTTCACTGCTGGATAACTGATGAAGAGACCAATCAACAGTTGACGTTAACCATTCGCTTTCTCCCATGTGGGATGCCCACCTCTTAACAGTCAGCCATTTTTCTATTGTAGATCCCATGTTTAACCTTTAATTTGGACGGGGATTATTTTAATTCTTTTCCACTGCATGCCAATCCTCTATATCTTGTATTTTATATTTATGTATGAAATGTGGATCAAGGGAGTGCGACGAGGAGCTAATCCACCCGCCCCTAAGAAACTGAAAATAAATTCTTGGCAGAAGCCTATATCACGCACCGTTCCAGGATTGCTCGATGGAGTTGGGGATGGAAGAGACACTTCAACCTTCTCTTCCACGTTTTTACCAATATTATTTGAATTACCGGCCCCACCAGCCTTAATCATGTCTAGCAGCTTCACTGTTTCTTCACTTGTCAAGTTACCAGCTTGGCCAGAAGTCAAGGCAAAAACCAGAGCCGGGTTTTTCAGCAGTACAGCCAACAACTCAAGATCTGGTTCAGCTGCAACGCCACCACCTATGTGGGAGGAAGAAGGTGCCAAAGCGGCTGCACTATTTACATGTTCACCATGGGTAACCTGTGTTTCAGTAGAGTCAGTATCAGGTGGCTGTTCAGTTGGTATTTCTGGGGTCAGCGTGTCATCATAATCCATTTCTCGGTCCCACGGTTCCTTGGGGTTAGATGGTATCTCCTGGATTGTGTAATAGAATGTTTCCCTCTCTCTACGGTTTCTGTTTTTCTGCATATCAACCTCTTTGCTATTCTCACCAGCACCAACTCTCCATAGCTCGTTGAGTTTTACTTCTGCAGAAAAGAAAAGGACTTAAAAACAGTCTGAAACCCGCAGATGGAGTAACATGAGTGAGAGATGACACCAACAAAAATAAGATACAGAATATTTACCAAAAAAAAAAGCCTAGAGACAGAAAGAGAATGAAATCAAAATCAAGCAGTCAGAAAGTCATAGCGGTACAATCTGATTGCTCCTCTTATAGATTGCTGGCACTGTATAAGGTTGTTGAATCATCGTAATTGGGATGGTAGTTAAGGGGAGAAAAAATTACAAAAAAGGAAAACTGATGGGGAGAAGAAAAATAAATGTCCTTGACAGACCAGTGAAAATCATAAACCAAGTAAAACTTAACAGTTCAACTAAAATGTCTGCCTCCCTCAACTTTTCTGACAATCCCTTGGAAGTTGAAAATTGGTCATAGATCAATAGTAGTTGAGCTGGTTCTGTTACTGACACTGGCTTAAAAATGCAGAAAATATTAGAGGCAGGTTAAAGAAACCTGAATTTTTTTTCAACAACAATTTACTGGCAACAAGCAATGCATGTCAATGCAAGTTGGAGTGGCTTCAAGTTCATCATAAGAAAAATCCTCTACCGTTGCCTTATGGCCCCATATATCTGTGATATCATCAAGCCTCCTTGGTCAATTTTGTTGATGAAAATAATAACTCTTCAAAATACTCCTAACTTTGGTTCCAAAATCATGAAAAAATTTGCTTTGCCCACATTTTAACCACATGTGCTCAGAGAACAAGTGTGACAACTTTTATCCAGAGAAATTTCAATTTCAATTTCTTAGCATCCAGCTATCCAAAGTTAATAGGATAAAGGAAAATCCCTTATTGCCATCAGTCCGATCGTTGCACCTTGGAATCACTGGTCATTCAAGGTTGAAGCTCCATAGGGCTTCAATCAAACTCAATTGAGCAAATTCTTTTAAGGATAATATTTAAATGATTGCATGTTATTGGTTTAGCAACAGCCTTTGGGCAACATCTGCCTTGGATCAAGGCACACACATTTCAAACAGCCAGCATTGATCCTATTGAAGCAATTCCATCCTCCATAGTTTGATAATGAAAACCTGGTAGAGATTATAATATAAGGACTAACCATTATGTTAGCAAAAGCTTCATTAAATGAATAAGAATTTTATCTACCACGACTAGATGTCATTAAATTTTTAAACTAATGATTTTCATTCTCTGCAAAACGTTTTGGAAGAACAACTCACCAGCACCTTAATTTTTGACAGTTATGAGCCACATGGCACTTCACTAAAGCTATTGCCAGTGCATTCCAAATGTTGGTGCACACATCAGAACAAAAGCAATCAAGTGTAGAACTGAATTTTGCAATAGACAAAAGTCTATATTCATTAATGGGAATTCTAATATTTTCAACAACAGGACATTTCCGCCTTGGCGATACAATTATCATAAATATGATCACATATCAGGAGATATATTTGAAACAATTTTTTTTACTTTCAATATTTAGGAAAAGAGGGGTAAGTGTATATACAACGAAAACAATTCCCAAGTTTCACACAAATAATATTATCAGGTTGTAATTCTATTCCTAATGAGAAAAAAGTAGAAAATATAAAAGATTGTGGGTAACGGAATGGAGGATCAAAAAAAGTAGGCAGCAGTGGTTGCAAAGAGAATTGAATCTTCCTCCTTGATAGTTTTGGAAATTACTTAAAGGGCACACTCTACCATCTAAAATTCAGGGAGTTAATACAAGCAACTAATGAAAAAACACTAGAAGCATATGTACCTGGTGGTGTGTGCCATGGGATTTTGACCTTCTGGCAGTTCCCCCATGGAGGCTCCTTTGAATCCATATTCTGTTTTGGATCAAGAGAAGTTCCCAGCCTGTTAGGAGTTTTGGGGGGAAGTATTACAGGTTTCTTTTGTTCTTCAGCAGGCCGAACATTCACTTTCGAAACTGGTGGAGAAAAGCTGGCCTGCGAATTTGAAGGTTTGTTCAGACCTTCACTCTTTGCTTCATTCATTCCATTAGAGGAACCAGTTTTGCCATATTTACTCTGCATATATAGAGCACGCATTTTTGCTTTTTGGATATCATCAGCAGACATGGGGCGACTTTGGCTGAGAGGTACCGTTCTTGTTGTCTGTGAGCTTTTGCCAGCCATCTTTTGTCCTGGCTGTTCCACTAACTGAACCTTCCTGCGTTCCCTGCTATCTGGACTAGCTAAGGCAATGTGCTACTCTTGAAAGGAACCAAATAATTGCACGTACATAATCTTGCACATTTTCAAGCAATTAAGATAAGCGTGGCAAAAGAGAAGAATAGTTGCCAAGAAGTTCAAGGAAACGGATCATAATTAGCAGCAAAGAAATCAGTAAACCCACCCCACTCTCCCCTGCGAAAAAAAAAAAGTCAAACCGTTAAGACAGATGAGATACAATCAACCTCCTAGATAAACTTTAGGAACCGTAAACTCTAAAAAAACAGATGCTGAGCCTACCACTTATGTGACAAGCAATTAACATATCTTTAGTTTAGACATGTCAT